AGTACAACAGGTGAAACATTAAAAAATTTTTCATATTGCATGGAATTGTAAAAATAAGTGTTGTAATTATTGCAAACAAAATGGACATATTCTTACGGAGTGCCCTACATGACCCGAAAACTACAAATCACAAGTGCTTCATGCCATGGTATCTGACACTCGCAATCCTAGCTTTACATCCACAGTTGCTGACAATAATCAATTAGTTGTCACATCAGATATGGTTCAACAAATGATTCTCTCTGCCTTTTCATCTCTCGAGCTTCAAGGGAAAAGTGAAACTATTACTTCCGTTCCTTCTCCTTGGTTTGTTGATTTGGGCGTCACTAATCATATGACTGACACAACTGATTTATCGCATAACAAACAGCCGTACACTAGTACTCAACATATTCAGGTTGCTGATGGAAATAATATTTCAATTACGACAGTTGGTGATATTAACTCCTACAGACATGTCTTGGTTTCTCCTAAATTATCTACTAACTTACTCACTGATGGTCAAATTGTGGATAATAACTGTGACACACATTTTTCTCGTGCTGGTTATATTGTGCAGAATTAGGTGTCGGGAAAGGTGATAACGAAGGGGCCTAAAGTGGGCAGACTGTTTCTATTACAATTTGTCGTTCCTCAGAATATGTTATTAGCTTCTTCAGTTGTTGAGAATAAGGCGGGCATCTGACATAAAAAACTAGATTATCCAAATGGTATGGTGTTGAAGCATTTACTTAAAAGTGGTTTTTTCTCATTTTACAGATAAGAGTTTAGTAGTTGACTGTTATGTTTGTAAACTTGAAAAAAGTAAGATATTACATTTTCTAATTTCAGGTAGTCGTGCCAATAAATATTTTGACTTTATTCATAGTGATGTTTGGGGAATTACACAAATTATTTCAAATGCTCAATATAGATATTTTGTGGCATTTATTGATAATTACAGTCGATTTACTTGGTTTTATTTTTTGCGTTCCAAAACAGATGTATTTACTGTATTTTAAACCTTTTTAGCATTTTCGCTTGCATAAAAACCATACGATCTGATAATGACGGTGAATAAATGTCTCATGAGTAAGCATTTCTTCATCACAAAGGTATTGTTTCACAACATTCATGTCCTTATACACTAGTTGCTGAACAAAAAAATTGGCATCTATTGGATACTATGCACACATTAATGATAAAATCTTCTGTTCCAGCTAAATTTTTGGCTAAAGCTTTATCTAATGTAGTTTATCTCATTAATCGTTTACCATCTCAACAATTGAAGAATGATTCTCCCTACTATCAATTTTTTTGGTAAATATCATAATTATCATATGCTACATACTTTCGGATGTGTTTCCTTTATTCATCTATCTGCTAATGAACGCCATAAGTTGGCAGCTAAGTCAGTACGACGTGCCTTTATGGTGTAGAGTCTTAATCATAAAGGTTTTGTGTGTTATGATTCGATTGATAGTCACTGATATATTTATCGGAAAATGATTTTTTTAACATAAATATTACTTTCAGTATCATGTGTCAACACCAGATACAATTATCCTTCTATAATTTAATAATTCTTCTGCGGATAAACGGTTTAAGACGGACATTGTCTACACACGACGCCTGCCCCCTTCACCTTCACTCCTCCCCGACCCTGATCCAGAAATTGCTCCAATAAGACTTCGACGATCAACTCGACGTATCCGTCCTCTAGATAGATATGGGTATTCTGCAATTTTAACTAATACTATTGTTCCCACCTCTTACTTTCAGGCTGCTAAACATACTTGCTAGGTCAAAGTCATGCAAGAGGAACTTCAGACACTTCAAGACAATCAAGACTTCAGACACTTCAAGACAATCACACTTGGGATATTGTTTATTGCCCTATAGATGTTAAACCCATTGGTTGTAAATGAGTTTACTCTCTTAAACTCCGATTTGATGATTCTCTTGACATATATAGTGCATGATTGTTAGCTCTTGGCAATCGACAGGAATGCGAGATTGATTATAAAGAAACATTTGCACTTGTGGCTAAGATGACAACTGTCAGACTGATGTTATCTATTGCTGCATTTAAAAGTTGATTCTTAAAGCAGATGGATGTTAATAATGCATTTTTACATGGGGGTCTCAAAGAAGATGTCTATATGACTCCTCCTCCAAGCTTGTTTTCTACACCTTCACATGATGTTTGTAAGCTCAAACGATTCCTATAAGGTTTGAAAAAAGCTCCACGGGTCTGGTTTGAAAAGTTTTGCAATACTCTTCTCAGCTTCTCTTTTATTTTAGTATGATTCATTATTATTCCTTTGCAAAACTGATAAGAGAATTGTTTTGTTATTAGTCTATGTTGATGATATTATCATCACAGGATCTGACAATCAATTGATGTCTTAGCTAAAGAAGCTTCTTCAGGGTTCTTTTCATATAAAAGATTTGGGATCATTAAATTATTTCTTAGGACTTGAGGTTCACTCTTCTCCCACTGATATTTTTGTTCATCAGCACAGTTATGCAAAGAGACTCATTGCTTTGGCTGGTCTTCAAGATGGTCGCTCTGCTGATACTCCTTTGGAAGTAAATGTTAAATATCAACAGAATGATGGTGACTTTCTATCTGATACATTTCTGTATCAACTTGGTTGGGAGTCTCAATTATTTGACTATTACGAGTCCTGCTATTTCATTTGCTGTACAGTAAGTTAGTCAATTTATACAAGCCCATACACATCTTGATTTAGCTGCAGTTCAACGTATTGTTTGGTATTTAAAAGGTATTTTTCATCGTGGTTTGTTCTTTTCTGCGAAGTCTCCTATCACCTTAACAACCTATAGTGATGTCGATTGGGCTGGTTGTTCTGATACACGCCGATCTATTGTTGGATGGTGCATGTTTCTCGATAACTCTTTAATATCTTGGAAGAGCAAGAAACAAGATCGAGTGTCTAAGTCATCTGCTGAATCTGAATATCGCGCTATGCCTTATGCTTGTTCCGAGATCATTTGGCTTCGGGGTGTGCTGGCTGAGCTTGATTTTTCTTAGCTTGAGTCTACTTCTCTTCATGAAACAATTGCTCAAAGATTACCAAAAGAGAAAAAGGAAGTTGACATCGGTAATTTGAATTTTGCAGAACAACCATTTCTGAAGAATTTTCTTTTTTTTTTCTTTTTTGTACAACATAAATGTCTGATGATCATGATTTAGAAAGATTTACATACTTGCCATGCCATTTGCTCTCTTCTTATTTTTATGTTTATAAATATCCAAATTATTGGAAACAGCGGCTAATCCTCTCTCTTTGCTTCATGATTCGAATATTTTGGGGAGAAATACAGCTAACTCTGTACTACTTTATGATTTGGAATTTGGGGCCACGATCGATTTTGCTTTGCTTTAAAAAATGGGAGAGCTGCAGTTAGTTTTTTTTTAAATTTTTGAAGAAATTTTATAGCAGATTCTCTCTGTTCATTTGATTTCGATTTGGGAATCGTGATTGGCTAATCTGCTATTGCTTTACTCCATAACATTAAATGCTGTTCAGTCTATATGGAATCAAGTAATGGCGATTATACACGACTTGCTTATTCAGTTATTCATCACTCTTAGTCTTGATTGAGCTGATTTCAGCAATTTATATTGAACCTATGGCCGCAATTAATTTATCTTAATTATTATTATTATTTTTTTAGAACATTCTGAATTTTTTTTATGGCATGTATAGTCTGCAAACTAAAATGTACAGGTATATACATTATATATGCTAGGGTTTGCAATGTATATACATACATATATCACTTAGAATAAATATTTGTGCAAATTTTGTAATTTCTCATATGTTTTCATTGATTTTAAAATTTAGACTTGCATATAAAATTTTATATTTACATTTATACCACCCATATCACTCATGTCACCTAAAATATGTATATATATATAGCTTTAAGGTCGTTTACATACATTGGACACAATTCTTATGTATTTAAGTATCTCACACCTAAAATTTTATATTTACACACGCATCACTTCAACATTTTCAACCTATACCAAAAAATGCATTCCGTTTAAAAATAAAAAGAACTCTCATATTTTGATATGATATTGACAATTTTAGTATTGTGTACGTAAATATGAAAGTTTAAGTGTGAAATATGTATAGATACATATGAATTGAGTGTATTGTAGGTAAACCCTTAAATTATCACATCACGCATAGCACCTTTTTTTTTTATTGTAGCATTCATGTATACTTGGCACTATCTTGTTTCCAAATTCTCATAAAAATTTCTTTGTGCACCTTTGTGAGATAAACTCGATCGTGGTCAAGATATTGAAGGATCTTGAAGCTACTCCGAAGCGGACGAAAGATACGACATCAAACTTCACGTCTGTGAGATCTCTCCAAAACCACTTAATAAGATAACATATAATAATAAAAATAATATAATCATAATAATTGACCTGTTGGATTTATGAGAATCACTCGGATGAGATATTCCACGGTTGCTAACGAGAATTCTCCAATCTAAATGAGTTCGATAACTCGTTTAGATTAAGTAAATCCAAAATTAACAGTGATGCCAGAATGATATAACCGTGGGATTTTAAGTGATATCAACAACAACAACAACAACAACAAAGCCTTAATCCCACTACGTGGGGTCGGCTACATGAATCCTTTTTCTCCATTGCGTCCTATTTAGTGTCATATTTTCATTTAGTTCTAATAAATTAAGATCATTTTTAATACAATAAGCCCAAGTCTTCCTAGGTCTACCTCTGCCTTTCTTAACACAAGTTGAATCTAAAACATCTACTCTCCTAATCGGACCATCTAATGGTCGACGTTTAATATGACCAAACCATCTCCAAACCACCATCTAAGATGACTCTCTGTAAGTTTGTCTGTCATTGGAGCTACACCAACCCTATCATGGATATATTCATTTCACATTATGTCTCAAGAGTAAAGCCACTCATCCACCTAATCATTCTCATCTAGAACTTGTTCCCACATGAAACTGGCAAAGCAAACACAGTAGCCAACATTAAGAACTTTTAGATCACTTCAGTAAAATGGAGGAAGCAGCACCCATCGTCTTGTAAACTTTGGCCTTCCATCTTTTCCATCAAACAACTGCAGCATAATTTCACAAGTCAGAATCAGTAACATATTAATTTTTGCTAAAAAAATAAAAAATTAAACTGACCTTAACCAATCTCTGGTGCTTTCCGACAGCCCAGTGATACATGAAATAAGTACCAACTGCAACAAACAGATAACCAGCGAAAGTTTGCGTTGCAATATTGAAACCAAGCCACTGATAGATCTCAGTTGCGTAGTTCGCGCAAGTCACAAAGTTGAACAAGAATCCCTTGGGCATTTGATAGCCTCCGGCGCCATCAGGACTTCTCAGAGTTTTCAGAATAAGGTGGCAGTATAAGTTTGCGAATTGGCAAATTAAGCCAAAAGTAAAGCCAATCTTCCATTGCATGATTTTAAGTGATATTACAAATGTTTAGATTTTAACAAATAAAATTAAGCATATGAAAATCAAAATGAGGAATTTTATTTTATGTTAAGCGATACCACTTAAAATCCAGGAAAAAACTATAAGCATTAAAAAAATAAAACCAAGTATGTCTTGATCTTTTCGACTTTACGACACATCTTTTATTTTTTGTACAGACTTTATTTTCTTGTACAATCTTTATTTTATTTACTGTACTTTATTACATCTCTCTTTCCTTTTTGCTACTATACTCCACTGCATTTCACTTTGTTATTGCACTGTACTATACCGCCATACTTTTAGCTACTTCTTTTCTAGCATTTCTATACAATACGCAAGTGTAGTATGTATGCTCAGGATTGAACTCTACAACACATAACTTTTCATTTCAACTCCTTTCGAAATTCTGTAATAAAATATTCTCAAAATCACGAGTAATATTCTCAAACCTCAATAAACAAATAATAAAATATATTCTCTCTTCTTTCTCTCTTCTCTCATTTTGGAACAAGACAATGATGCGATCAAGTAATGATTCATCTCCGGGACGTGATCGGGGCAATGACAGGAAGAGGAAGGAGAAGCTTAAACCGAACATCGATAGATTTAAATAATATACCCCAATAGGACGTCGAGGCTGTTCCTCTGGCACAATGTAAATCCTCATATTATCTTTTAGGACTTCGTACGATTGTATAACATATAATATAAGTCCTAAACTGTTTAGGATTCTAAGGTAGTCATTTGGTACGATATAAATCCTCCTATTTTCTTGGGTTATTTGCATATGAAATGCAGATATAAGTCCCAAATATCTAAACAATTTGTAAAACTGAAATATCAAATAATTTCTCTTTCAAAGATATAAAGCCAAACCATAAAATAGTTTGAGAGGTCACTGAATCTTCTTCAGTATCTTCGACATCTCCTACTTTTCGTTTCTTTGAATTCCAAAAATAACTGTTTCATATTTAATCTATCGCATTTGAATTTTCTATAAACAATCATGGAAACCTAAACGTTGAATTCTTGAAGTCGAAACTCCAATCTTAATCAAGAGTTTTCTTAGGTGGCTTCGGTTGTCTAAGATGTAATTAACTATAGGGGCTTGCCTCTATATGGAATTAAGAAAAGAACCCAGATTAATCTAAAACCCAGATTAATCTAAAACCTATCTATTATGTGTATTAGATAGAGAAATTTGTCCGCTATAAATTTTGAGGATCAAAATAGAGTCATAAACTTTTAAGTTTAAATAGTTAACCCTACCAATAAGTGATATGTTTATCATTCGAGATGATATATCATTTATGGTATCATGCTTAGCTATTTAAACTATTAGATATATGAGGTCTATTCATTCTCATTATTTTTCAAAAATAAATAATACTACTTTCACAAAAATAAAAAAAAATTTAAATTAAATATATAAAAAAATTGCCGACACTTACAGAAAGAAAAAAAACTAAGTATTGTGTTTTTTATTATCTTATAATTATTGTAAACACTTTCTAATTGATTTGCTTTGATTTGATGGAGTTTTCAGTTGTGTTTTATCCACAATTTGTGAGTAATTTTCTTTACTCTTTTCTTTTAATATGTAGTAGTGGCATGTGTAGAAATTTTTTTTTTTTATGATGGAATAATTTTTATTTCCATGTGATGAGTAATATCTCCTTTGTTTCATTGATAAAACTTAGTTATGTTAAAATCTGTTGTAAGTCAAACTAAGACTCGGGAGAGTAGTGATCTCGCAACTTGAGTGCACTCGCATTGATTGGCTGGCTATTACAAAGTAGTTTAGGCGACAATGCAACTTTTAAGGAAATATAATTTAATGATCTATTTCTTTTAGGAGCTTCTAGGTGACACATAATTGCCTAAAAGTAATAGAAAAACATACCTATACACTCAAACGAGGGTAGATAGACATATGTTCCTTGTTGGCATAAAATTATTACTTAATTCTATCAATTCTTTTAATGCTTATGCCATTATGTTCATTTTACTTCTTTTTTGTATAGAAATAGATGCATGTTTAGGAATTTAGATTTTCTTAGATCTACTCTTCTTTCACTAATGAGATGATATTTTAAACCAATTCTTAATTTACTTCATAACTGGTTACTTGTAATGTTAAAATCTAATACGAAACCTAATGACATGAGAGAGCTATGATTTCACCCAACTCGTGAGTACTATACTAAACTTGGATTGAGGGGATGCCATGTCCAAGTGGGACTGCAAATAAATAGGGAGATAAGTTTTGATAGGCGTAGATTGGTGTTTCTAGGGTGCCAAGCTAGATCCTTTACCAATTAGGTCTAGAGTTGGATCACGAGTCCCTGGTAAGTCCTATAGAGAGTGGGTAATTGTCGTTCGCTTTTTTGAAAAAATAATATTCAATTATATATATATATATATATATATTGATGAGTAGTATTTTTAAAAAATTAATTGACTACAAGGCTATAAAGATTTATAATTTACTAGTGCAACTCGATTAAATAAATTAAATAATTTATGACATCTATTTTAGTCTGCGAAACCATTTATGTTGATCGACAAATTCCCTTATCTAATATAAACGATTAGATATGATTTATATTAAGCTGTGCTTTTAAAGTTTCCTATAAAGGCAAACCCCTATAGTTAATTATATCTTAAATGACCGAGATCACCTAAGAAAAATCACCTAAGAAAACTCTCGATCACCTAAGAAAACTCTCAATTTAGATAAAAAATATTGTCTTTAAGACTTTCAAAGGATAGGACTCTTCAAAGATCAGACCAAGAAGTGTCAAATGGGAAAGACTCAAAATTGGAACATTTTTATGTAATATAAAGGGAGAAAACTAGGGGTTGATATAGTTCCTGAGGAGAACCTCAATGACTTCCCAAGCTACATATGGTTTGACTTTAATTTTGAGAAGGAAATTATTGAATGTTTTATCCTACCAATTTTATTATTTAGGGTTTACATTGATATGATACAATCATATAAATAGCCTGGATGTTAGGAAGATTTATGTCGTAACAAATGACAACCTCAGAATCGTAAAACGAGTTAGGGCTTAGATTGCACAACATGATTGTCCAAAGGCGTAAAGATAAAGTGAGGATTATGTTGCACTAGGAAAACGACCTCAAAATCTTATGACTTGTTGTTTAAGTCTAAGAAAGATTTGCTGTTGTAGATCCACTTGCGGTTGTAGAATGCTGCCCTCATGGTTAACTCCGAGCTCCTCGTCAAAGTAGCAGTCCTAAAGTTTAAAGGTTAGATTTAAATGACAAGTTCAGTTCAATCATTATGGGGGGAGAGGGTTAAAGTTGATTAGAGCGACACCGGTTAGGATCTCACGCTTCCCTCGTTCCGGTACCACTATTTTCTTTTGAATTTACTTAGCTTAAACAAGTTGTTAAGCTCATTTAAATTAGGGAGATCTCGTTAACAACCGTGGGTTACCTTATCCGAGTGACTCCCGTAAATTCAAAAGGTTGTTTTATATTTAATTGTATTTCAAAGAATTTATGGTTACCTTTGAAAGATTTTAATTTAATTTTAAAAATTGTTTGAATTTTTAGTTTTGAAAACATTTCATTTTATCAACCAAGCATGCATGGTATGTTGAAGTAGTAGTAAATTGCAATAAATGAAATGACAGAAATAAATAAAACTGTAAAGGCGTACCTGTCATCTTCTGGCTGCTCCTACTGAAATGTTAGAACTTGCAACATATATATAATTTTATAGAAAATTTAAATAAATTGCAAGAACGAAAAACCAAAAGACCAGTAGAAGGTGTATTTACCAAACCCCATGTATAACTTGATGGATTCATAAAAGTTTTAATAGATGATTTTCTGGAACAAAGTATAATAAGTTCAGTTGTCCTTTAAAATATCCAAAAAGTCATAAAAGTGTTCGGGGAACAATCCCTAACAACTTTCAGAACCCTTTGAAATAAGAACTTTTAATACTATTTGAAACGTTTCAAGTTCATTTGAACCTATTATATTGTTCAATTAACCATCCAAATTTAGATTTAGTTTTAATAAATTAATACACTTTATGCTCAGTGAACCTTGATATTTTAATTATCCCAAGAGTGGGGTAATCAGACAGTCACTTATTGTTTTGTTTAAAAATTATGTGAGTGAATGCATTGAGGGACAAACTCAAAATCGTTAAGGATTTTATACCCCAGATTAAAGTCTAGCTTGTAGTGTTTACAAAATGTTCATAATTATTATGTTATCTTTTCTAATCCTCATTAAAAAATCTTTGATTAAGCCTAGTTCACTACTAACCCCTTAACAATTTCACTGGTGAATTTGTAATTATCAAAATGTTAATTTAAGTGAGATATATTCTTATTAAAGGATCATGCTATCATCTAATCACCAATCAAGGGCTTTAAATGAGTGAATTATTATCTTCCTAACTTAAGCCCACTACATTAGTATCATCCAACCAAATTAACTTCCAAGTCATACTAATTTATGAAATTACAGTTTTGCTCTTATCAAGAAAATGTGACAAGTTGGTTTCTACCCTCTAACCCTTTTTGTTTCAAACATTCAAAAGAATTCATTATGATCAAAATTACCCATTTACCTTTTTGATTAATCCTAAATTTTAAGTAAGACATCGAAATCTAAAATTACCATTTTGCCCTTAAAGCTCTCCACTTCATAACTCACAATTATAACTCAAATGACTTTAAAATTTTAATGGTACGCCACCCATGGGTCTTTTAAAATATCAAAGGAGAAAATGTGATTTTTCTAAATTTTAGTTAATTTATATAATTATTTTAACTCAGAAAATAAGATTTTCAATATTAATTTATTTCATTTATCAAAGTAAAGTTTTTGTACATGGGAAAATTATTGGAGGTTCACCTAGGCCAAAAGACCACTTGGATAAAATTTCATAATTTGTAGTTATAATTTAATTATTACAATTATTTAATGGTTTT